TCTCTCTGTCTCTCTGTCTCTCTGTCTCTCTGTCTCTCTCTCTCTCTCTCTCTCTCTCTCTCTCTGTGGGTCTCTGTCTCTCTGTTCACCAGGTTCGGGGCTCCCAGAGCTCGGAGACAGAGTCTGATGCACTCGTCCACCACCAGCAAGAACCCAATAAACTTTGCTCAAGGAGCGAACCCGTTTCTGCTTCGACTCCTTTCGAGTCCGTCTACGCCCCCGTCTCTCCCCATCCTAGTCTCTGTCCTCCTTTCTCAATCTCTGTTCCCCTTCCTCCCTCTTTGGGTCTCTTCTGATCCCCACCCTCCCCGGAAGTCCCGGGAGTGGCGCGTACCTGAAGACCCCCGCGGGGGGCAGGGCGACTCCCGAGGCCGTGCGGGCGCCCCAGGGCGCAAGCAGCAAGAACATCAGCAGCAGCCGCGCTCGGGGGCCCCCGGGCGCCTGGCGGGCCTCCATCACCTGCGGAGAGACGGAATAGTTTTGTGAGGCCGGCAGCCCGGCCTGAACCCGGACCCCACCATCCACCCCCCGCCAGCACCCTTTTGCAGGGCCCCCTACCGCGCAGTGGGCTTGGGCCGCGAGGCTGGCAGCTCCCTTATATCGCCTGCACAGCCCCCGCAGCGGGCAGTGACGCAGACCAGGGGGCCGGGGGCACCGGGTCAGCATCCCCCAGGCTCATTAGGAGCCGCCAGCGGTAATGAGGAGCCGGGGGTGGGGGCCCTGCCCCTTCCTTGGCAGCTACCAACTAATTGGGACCAGGAGCCGGGACCTGAAAAGAAGCGGGAGGGGGAGTGACAGACAGACAGAGAAGTGGACAAGGGGGTGTGTCCGAGGGATAAAAATAGAGACCAGCGGAGGGACCATCAGGACAGAAGCCAGGGACACAGAAAGAGACGAGGAAAGCAACAGAGGGGGGCACTGCTGGGAGAGGTGGAGACACAAAGAGATGAAGTAACCGTGAGAGGGCAGGACAAAGCGTGACCGAGGAAAAGAGAGAGGAAGAAAAAAGGGAAAGGAAGGAAGAGAGGAGAGGAAAAGGGGCAAAGAGAGCCACTGGAGATGGAGGGAGAGGGACGAGGCTCTGAGATGGAAGGACAGCCAGCCTGGACAAGGACGCCCAGAGATAAATCCGTGCAGAAAGGTAGAGTGCAAGACGCCGGTGGGGGAAGGCAAGAGAAAGTGAAGGGTCCGTGGTGAGGAGCGTAAGCAGAGAAAGTGACAGGCAAAATCAGGGAAATCTTAGGAAGCCTGCAAGGAGGGGAAAGAGACAAGGATCCGAGCTACCGTGTGGATGAGCCTGTCTTCCTAGGGAGAGTTTGAGGGTGTTGCAAAGATAAGGCCCAGTCCCCCCACACTGGCTCTTAAGAGGGTACCCTAGGCAGTGGGGAGGTAGGTAATGGTTGGGAAACCTTAAAGGGCAGTAGCAGTCTGGAACTCTGACGAGCAAGACAGGCAGATCTGGACTCCTAGTTCCCCAGAGAGGAGGGGAAGAAGACCAGGTCACCTGGGTCTAGGAAGGCAGGGAACCGGGACTCCTGGGTCCTCAGGGAGGAGGGATCTGAGAACCTGGATTCCTGGATCCGAGGGAAGGGACCTTGGGGTCCAGTCTCCTGGGTCTAAAAGTAGGATGCAGAAACCTAGATTCGGGTTTGGGTGTAGGAGAGAGCAGAGGAAACAGACCCCTGGCATCAAAGGGAAGATAGCTTGGTTGGGCCAATCCAGTCCCTGACTTCATTCCCCACTCCAGAGACAGTGTCCTTTATCTCTGTCCCTTTAAGAGCTCAAACTTGTCGCTAGGCTCCCAGGATCCCCAGGGAGGGCGTCAGGTGCGTCACCTGTGCCGCTGGGACCCTACCTCCTGCCGCCACGCCCAGAGCCGTTCTGCAGCATTCACTGATCTCTGCATCCAGCTCTGCTCACCTGTTGTTATCTTGGACCTCACTGAGCAGGTAAGAGACCCCATAATCCCCAAGTGACCCTGTCCCATCTAGGTGTCTGCTGTCCCCACTTCCACCTGACTGCAGACCTAGGCATCTCTGCCCCAGACCAGACCCTGTGGCCCTGGGATCTCAGCTCCATCCTCAACAGTGAGACCTGAGTCCTGCCCCACACCGCGCTCTCCTCCCTCAGGCCAAGGAACCCAGACCTCTATATCCCTCACTGTAAAGGACCCAAGAGTCAAGAGGCCACAGTCCTCTAGAGTCCAAGCCTCCCGTTTCCCTTTGCCCTGAAATCCAGCATCCCAAGTTTTGCTCCCTCAAAATTCTAGGCATCTGAATCTTCAGGCCTCTCCTCTCTAAAGAACCAGGAAGTTTAGACCCTCAATGCCCTTCACCCACTGGGAAGTGGGAGTCTGACCCGACCCCCACCCCCAGCAGTTTTCCTGCCCAAGAAGAGAAACCTCAGATCCAGGCATTCAGACCCCAACCGCTCCTCCTTCAGACCCAGGAGTCTTGGCCATCAGCCCCCAGCATTATTTCCAAGACTCCTTTGGTGTAAACAACTGTTGAGTCAAGGTTTCCCTGGGACCCCCAGAGAGGAAGGGATCCTGTGTGCCCTCAGAGGTCGACAACCTCTAAAGTCGAAGTTGAGGAGGTCTGGGGACGTGGAGAGGTGTCATTCTTTCCCAATTTTTCTGACACCGCCTTGGGGAAACAAATATGGAAATTAACTACGACTCCCAAGAAGCCCCTGGCCTCAGTCTCCATTAGCTACTGCGGCTAACGCCCCGCAGCCTTCAGGGAATTGCAGTTGGGTTCTCCTCCTTTCCCTGGAGTTAAGCTGGGCGGGGACATGGTCCACTTGGGGACAAGTGGGCGTGGCCTCCGGGCGAGGCGGGGCCTCCGGGGACGGGCGCGCCCTCGACGATTCTGGCCCTAACCCCTTCCTTCCTGCTCCCCCGCAGCAATAGGCGTCTCCCAGAGCTATGAAATCCTTCTGCCCGATCCTCTTCCTCCTCGTCTTCCTCTTCGCCCGGCTGAGTTCCCAGGCCGCTCCTTCAGCCTCACCGCCCGCCGGCCCGGACCTCCCTGGGACAGGCCACCCCTCTGAAACCTCCCCTCATGCTTCTGAAAATTCCACTCGTGACCAGCCTAACCCACAGTCCCCAGGGACTGCTTATCCTGAACCCTCCAAGATCCCTCATGCAGTTTCCCCTGAACCTGCCTCTCTTGACTTCACGGAAAGCCCCAACGCTGACCTGCGAGAAACCCCACACCCAGAGTCTCCTGAGACCCCCAAACCTAAGTCACTCAACACCTCGATATCAGAATCCCTGGAGATCCCAAAGATTAACCTTTCCAAAACACATCCAGAACCTTCTGAGACCCCCAAACCTGACCCCACTGAAATTCCACACTCAGAATCTCCCGAAACCCTTAAACCTAATCCCTCCAAAACTTCACTCCCAGAATGTCCTGAGACCCCAAACCCTGACCTTATCCAAACTCCACACCAAGAATCCCTAGAGATTCCCAAACTTAACTCCACTGAAATCTCACACACAGGAGCCCCTGAGATCGCAGCCCCTGACCCCACCAAGACCCTTCACCCCAAGTCTCCAGAAACCTATGATTCTGTCACCACTGAAACCCCAAACTCTGAATTCCTCCCGACCCTCCATCCTGACCCTACCGAAACCTCCCACGCGGAGTCCCATGTAACCCTCCAGCTCAGCCCCACTGAAATCCCCCAAACAGGATTCCCCACAAACCTGTACCAAGACGCAACAGAGATTCCCATGACCTCTGATCCTGAAATCTCCATTAGTCTTCACCCAGAAACGCCTGCACCCTTCAAGGATGAAGCGACTGCTCTAGCTGAGCTGCCCCTGAATCACATATCAGAAACCCTTGTAGCCACCCAACCCGACTCCCTTAAATTGGCCACCTCAGATTCTCCTGGGACCGTTGAGCTGAAGGCCCCCCAGAACTCTAGCCCTAAAGGTCCCGACGCCCTTCCCCTCTCAGCCCGGATTGCGGGTCCCCCTGCTCCTCCAGGGCCCTCCAATCAGCCGGCCCCTGCCACTCAGCGGGTCCCCCAGCGGCGCAGCAGAGGTGAGAGAGTCAACACTATCATCGTGGTGGAACGAGTGAAGGAGACCGGTGAGGGGCGCGGGCCCGGACTTCTGGGTCTGAAGGGGAAGCGGGCTAGGGGCCGGGACTCCCGGGTCCGAGGGAGGAGGCAGCTGGTGTCTGAACACCCGGATCCGAGGGAGGAGGGGCTAGGAATTTAGACTGCTCATTCCCTGGGTCTCCTTCGTTCAGGCGTGACCCTGGTGGGGCGCCCCCGGGGCCCGGCGGGCGGGGCCTTGTGCCTATTCTTCGCGGGCACCGGGCTGCTGATCGGCATTTTCCTGCTGCTGTGGTGTCTGTACCGCCGGGCGGCTCGACACCGGCCCTTCGCACACCACCGGCTTCCGAACGACGGAGATGAACCTGGTGAGCGACCCTTACAGCCGTCCGGCTCCTTGAATGCCGGAACGTTTCCTTAACCTGGTTTCTCCTGGCACTGTAGAAGCGCCTGGCCAGACGGTACAGGTTCCCCCATCCAAGGTCAGTAGATGCCCTGACCCCTCCATCATCAGGTCGTTCCCCAATTCTCTAAAATTTCATACTCACACGCCCAGGGCCGCCCCAGCCGAGCTGGGAATTGCAGCAGGCTGGGAGCCCGGGTCGCGGGTGCGCACCCCGAGCTCCGTATTCCGAGCCCCTTCCACCTCGGGCCACGCCCCCCACTGAGCCGTCGCCACGCCCCCTCATCTACCTCTGTCCCACACCCTCCGATTTGAAAACTCAGTTCCAGGGGACAGTGGGAATCCTCTTTGCCGCCTCCTACTGGCCAACGGCGCAGCAGAGCTAACAGGCCCCCTTGTCAGCGTGGGGTTGACCTCGTCCCTTTGCCCCCACAGTTATGCATTTGGACGCCCCGAAGGACCCCTATGACCTCTACTTTTATGCGCCGGACGCCTGGGTCCCTTCGCACATCGCCACCAAGCAGCCGCCGCCCAGCCCCCCGCTGCCGCCCAAGCTACCCCCGCCTCCCCGCGGGGGCCGCCCCCAGCGCCTCGAGCCGCTCTCCCCCGCCACGCTCCCCAACAACTTCGTGTGAGCCCCGCTCGAGTCTCGCCCGACCCGCGCCATCCCCAGGCTGAGGAAGGACGCAGAGGCGCTGTCCCGACGTGCTTTGCTACATAGTGGTCCTCTCGGAGAGGGGCCAGCGCACAGAGATGCTTCCGCTGTGACGGGAGAGCACCGCCCGAGGCCCAATAAATCAGGTGTTCCACCGCTAGACACCTCCTCTGGCCTGAGTCTTGGGTGAGGAGAGGGTTGAGGGCCTAGGATAGCGCGTTTGAGAAAGGAGAGGGCTGGGGGCTGAGACCCCTGGGTCTGAGGGAGGACGGGGCTGGAGGCCGGGACCCCTGTGACTCCCACCGCCAATGACGACCGAGCGTGTACACCAAAGCATTTTATTGGGAGTGGGGCAGGGCAGGATGTACCTCACAGAGACAAAGACACAAAGACACAACTCTGCTCGGGAAAAACACCCCTTTCCCCCAGCCCCAAACCCTTTTCTGGGATTCTGTGACCTCCTATATATGTTCCCCCTAATTCTAAGTCGAAAGAGGGGCATCTGAGAAGGGAAGGATCCCAGATTTTAGTCATTTAGCCCCTGAGGGACACAACAAATGGCCACTGAGAAAATGAGGGCAGTTTGAAACTACCCAAGAGAATAAAGTGCGAGGAACTTTGTTGCGGGGGGGTGGGGGGGCAACTTGAAACCACCATGGGCAAGTTCAAAGGTGGTGGCTTCAAACCATTGAGTTGTTGGACTTAGCAGCCACTGCTTAGACCTGAAAACTGTGTCAGAAAAAGTGCATCGGAGTGGAGAGGCATATTGTTAAAACTGCCATTTTGGTTGTTTCCCTGGATACGGTGCTAACTAAGCCAGAGAGATCTTGGGGGAATTTGGTGCTTCAGAAGAATCTGCTGGCGAGGTTAAGGGTGGGGGGGAGCTTGAAACCGCCATTTTCCCTCAGAAACGCTGGTGAGAATCAATCCCTAGAATAGTGGGGATGGATGATTGGTTAAACCAACCTGGAAAATGCAGAATAGAGTTGGGAGAGATTTTAAACATCTAAAGGAAGACCTTGAGTTTTTTCTGAAAGGAGAAGGGGGCTGAGTATTCTCCGGGATTAACCCCAGAGTCCCTGTAGTTAAAGAAAAGGGGGGAGGTGCCTCAAAACCACAAGCAAGAATAAGAGATTGAACTGTCCATTCAAATGAAGCCCTGAACGGAGAGATTTGAAACCACTGAGGCAGAACAAGTGAAGGAAAGAGTTAGGGGAATTTGGGTATCCTTGAAACTGCCACTCTGCAGCCTCACTACCCCTGAGAGGCAACTGGGAAGGAAAGAGGACTTGACAGCACTGGGAACAAGGGTGAGTGCTTCTTAGGCCTGCGGCAGGACAGAGAGGTCTGGGGTCCCTTGACACTGGCATTCAGGCCAGAGATGTGTGGAATGGAGGTCCTGGAAACTGCCATTCAGTGGGAGGCACACGGTTAGTAGTTCCGGACAGGGGGTGGGGGTCTTGGGGGCTGAACTGTGCTGTGCGTGGCCCCATAGGAGGGAGGCGGAGCAGGCGGTGCCCCAGGGGGCTCAGCCTCATCCTCCATTTCGCTTTCGTCACTGCCAGCCAGCTGGTCATGGCCAACGAAGCCACACTTCTCTTCGCTCATCTCCTCAGGCTCCGCCCACGGCTGCTTCTCCCCAGAAGCGAAGACCCCGTAGAAGATGACACCCCCGTAGTGCACCAGGGAGGCAATTAGGAACACGTACTGCCACTCCTCCCGAGTCTATTGAGGGGACAACAGGGAGATGAGGTCAGAGGACAGAGAAACAAGAGGTGGAGAGGGAACCTGACGCGTAGCGGGTAGAAAGGGAGACAGAGTTCCAGGAAAGGCTGAAAGAGACCCAGATAGGGTGACCCACTTCAGGAGGGAACCACACGCAAATCTGGAGAGCAAGCGGGTCAGGGTCAGCACACAGACCTTGTGCTTGGTCATGGCGCCCACAATGATGGGGCACACCATGCCCGACAACGTGCCCACGCCGTTGGAGATACCCATGAGGATGCTGGCATAGCGCGGGGCGATGTCCAGGTGGTTCACGTTGAACCCTGGAGAGGCAAGCCAGGAGGTGCCACACCCAAATCTCACCGAGGGACTCCTGAGCCGCTCCTGCCCCGCCCCAATCTGCACCTCCCCGGCCTCTTTCCAGTCCACCTTTTGCGAGGCTGAGAGGCCCCCTTCCTGAGCCAGGAAGTTGCCTACAGAGCTGTCCAGATCCAAGCTGCGGATCCGCGGTTCTCACCGGAGATGGCGAAGCCGCTGAAGCCCACAGCGAGGACCAGGAAGGAGATGGCCACGCCCTTGGAGTGCGAGTAGCCGACCACCAGCAGCAGCGTGGCTTCCATGCCGAAGCCTAGAGGGGGAGGGCCGCCTCACCTGAGCGCCGGCCGCCCCTTGCCGCCTCTCCCGACCTGTTCCCGCCCCGGCCCGCCTCTATCCGCCTCAATCTGTCCACCTCCACGCTTGTCCCCGGCTTTGGCCCCCATTCCGCCAGCGCCTGCTCTTACCTGATGCAGCCCGTTACCTCCAGCAACGCCTGGTCTGGACCCCGCGCCACAGGCCCCGACGCCCCAACAGGGATCTCCACGGACCCACCCCCGCTAGGCCACGCCCCAAAGACGCACGGTCCAAGCCCCACCCCTGCACCTTCACACCTTTCCTCTCTGTCCCCACCCACTAGGCACCACACCGCCCAGGCCTTGTCTCTCCAGGTACCCCGTTCATCACCTAATCCCCCTTTTTCATCACCTAGTCCTGGTCCCACTCCGGCCAGTGCCGAGTAGGCCCCGCCCTTCCAGACCCAACTTGGTCAGCCCCACCTGGATAGTCACACCCACCTTGACCTTTCACCACCTGCCCCCTAAGACTGCAGCCTGAGATTCTGTTCCACCAGACCCTCAGCCTTTTTGGACACGCCCTCTGACCCCTCCCCGTCCCCTCACGGTCCCGCCCCGCAGCGCTCTGCCCTGCCGGTCGAGGCCTAGGTCCAGGCCCCGCCCCACTCACCCCCGCAATTCATCAACTTGCGCACGTTGGTGGTGGACATGATGCGGCGGCTCCTCAGGAAGTCCGCGATCTGGCCGCCGATGGGCACGATGATGGTCATGACCAGGTGGGGCAACGCTGACACCAGGCCCACCTGTGCCAGCAGTACAGGGAGGGGCTCAGGTTCGTGCACCACTAACTCCTCCCTGTCCCTCGGTTCGACCCCTTGGGATCCAGGCCCAGCTCCTTCTCTCCCCTTCCCCGCCGCTCTTTTTGCCCTCCCCTCCTGAGCCCAACCTTGCTGATCTCGAAGCCAAATACTTCTTCGAAGTAGGCGGGCTGGGAGATAAGGAGCAGATAGAACGTCCAACTGCGGCAGAAGTTGGCCACGATGATGGCGTAGACCGGCATGGACGTGAAGAAGCGCCGCCAGGGTGTGTTAAACTTCTGTGGGGAGCGAGAGGTGGGGCAGCTAAGACTGAGCCCAGGGCTGGGAACCCACCGTGTCCCTTCGGGGACCCCACTATAGTCCGGCAGAAACCCGGGTTCCCCCAGCACACTAAACCTTCCAGGGACGCAGAAGAACTGGCCTGACCATGTCCCTGTGGGACTTTGCCATCCTAGCCTGACAGTGGCACCTCAGGAATGCAAGGGTCCGGTCCCCACGATGACCCTCAGGGACCCACAAATGTGGGCCCAGGAGTCTCTTTGCATCCAGTTATGCCCCCTAACTCTGGCTTCACCCACCCCATATTCTAATCCCGCCTCTGCTGGTTTGATCATGCCCATCAGTGGTTCTGTCCACTTCTTGACCTGGCTCTGCCCTCTGCACCTGCTAATCCCGTCCTCCCTGGGCTTTAAACCCGCCTCCCAGGTTCTAGCCCCGCCCACCTAACTTCGGCAGGCTTTCTCCCCTGAGAGTCTATGGAACCCACCACAGTCTACACGCTGTACCTGTTCGAAGCCCCCTTTTCTCCTGCCTCCCTGCCTGGATATCTCTCCTCGCCCCACCGCGCCCCCGCCCCGAAAGCTTGGGCCCGGACCGTGACCGGGTTCATGAGTTTGGCGCTCTCGCCGATGGCGTCCTCGATGTACTTGCGCTCCTCCTCCGAAATGCTGGGGTGCAGCGCCGGGGACTCATAGGAGACAAGCAGCCAAAACAGGTACCAGAAGATCCCGAAGCTTCCTGGGGGAGTCAGGAGGGGGATGGAAGCGAGGTGACGGCCAGGCTCGCTCCGCCCCAGGGCCACATGGACCCAGCCGTCCAGGCCCCTCACCGTAGACGTAGAAAACAGAGCTCCATCCTGAGTACTGCACCAGGACCCCGGCGAGAGGCATCGCGACCACCGCCCCAGCGTAGGAACCTAAGGGAGGAAGATGTGGGATGAAGAGAACAACCACCCTCAAATCCAGGATTGTGGCCCCCCAGCCCCGCCCTGTGGGACACATTAGTTCAGGTCACAGCTCTTCCTCCCTCAGATTCGTCTGTCCGGTCCCCAGCCGGCTCCTCTCAGAACTGAGAGTCCGGACTCCAGCCCGCTCCACCCTGGGACCAGCAGTCTGGATCCCGACCCCTTCCTCTCACCGCAAAAGGCTGTTGTCGCCAGGCGACTCCGCTCTAAGGGTGGGGCCCATTTGCTCCAGATTCCGTGGCAGGCGGGGTATGTGACCCCCTAAGGGAGGAGAAAACACAGTCAACGTGAAGAATAGGGGTCAGAACGGGGACGGAGCCATATGGGGCGGGGCTTTACCTCTACCAACCCCTGCAGGATCCTCACGAAGATGACGCAGCCGTAGTGGACGCGGGCAGCCGAGGGAATCAGCATGTTTAGAGTGGATGTAGCCACGATAGCAAAGCCGAAAACTCTGATGGAAAAAGTCCGTGGTCCGAGGAAGGGGTACCGCTATCCCACCAAGCCTAGGATTTCTGCCCTTTCCTCCCACAGCAGGCCAGGCCTCACGTCCCGCAGAACCCCGGGCCCCACCTCTGTTACT